ACATCATGCTGAATGGCGTGCTCATCGTGCTGAACCTACGATTCAGCATTCTCTCCGTGTCGCAGCTGACAGATTGTGGCGTGCAACTGAGCACCGAGCCAGAAACGTGCGACATCGTTCTGCATAACGCGTCGCCTGACAAACCACGCAAGTTACTCGGACGAGTACGCGCCGACAACGGCGTGTACGTCCTGGATTTTGACATCCCGGACTGCAGCGGCGCCACGGATAAGTTAATCGATTTGATCCTGCTCCGCTTTGAACACATCCACCGCTCCGAGTGGAAGCACCCTTACGATAGGCCTTGGAAGCCGCATCACCCGCACCCGCGCGAGGCGGCTCTGCACGACCCCGACCCCAACGGCATCGGGGGGGATTTCCACACGCCGACCGCTTCAACGAATGCAAACATCGCAGGCAGAGGCCTCGCCACGATTGCCGATGCTGACTGCTCCTAGTCGCTCCCAACCGAACTAGACCGCTCCCCACCGCACTAGACCACGCCCAACCGCAACCAATCGCATCCGACCGTTTTTAGCCGCTTTTCATCGCAATAGACCGCAACGAACAAACCTGAGCTGATTCTGGCTAATGTCCCTCTTGGAATCGTAACAAAACAAGCTACAAATATATCAATATAGAGCCACACCCCTTTAGATTCTCATAGACATCGGAGACCCGATTCGACGGAATGAGTTACGAATGGGCACGATACCAAAAGGCACGCAACAAAAGCCAACTAAATATGGGGTTCATGCACGCACATACTCTTGGATTTCTGTTTTGTTTTTGTTAGAATAAGAAAATGATATTGGATATGATAAATCTACTAGAGTAGACAACGAAAGTCTACTACAGTGATCATAGTGAATGTAAGTGACAATATTTATTATGATAAAACATTACAGACAATATATAGATCCTAGCTAGCCATGTACTCTGAGGGGTACATTCCCTTATTAACGGCGATACGGGTATCGCTACAGTAGTAGTGACTATTGCGATCCCCACTGTTACCTCGTTGCAGCCTGAAACCTCCGACCGATACGGTTGCGACACCAAAAGCAGGTCACAGCCTCCTGGTCCAGGTCGGTCAACAGTCACGATAGTTGACCTTTGACCTGCGTGCTCTATATGTCAGAATCAATACAACGGAATGAGGTGCACTAGCATGAGTGAGGAGTACAAGTAGAGCTAACCCTAATGGGTTGTACTCAGTACAGTCTATCCCGCTACAGCCTACACAACATAAAACTTATTTTGACACACCCCCATACGCGAAGTGGGGGATAACAAACACAGCAAGCGGTCACAAGACCAGTCAAGAGAAGAAACAAAGCAAAGCAAGCTCAGGGTGGATCTCAAGATCACCACGCATTCCGAGCACAAGCAAGCGGCCACAAGGTTAGTTCACATGCAGTTTTATAATAGAGCAAGCAATACCATGATTACAACCTAGCAAGCAAAAACATGCGGGTTTAAATATCAAAGTACAAGACAATATCAAGAGACAAGCAGTGTTGGCCCGTGTGGCCACGTACGAAAGGCGAAGATGGGAATGCTGCTGCAACACTCGCACGGCAAAGGAACGAAGTGCAAAGTGTTACGTCCTGCTCGCTAGTCTGACCCTAGCGCAGCACCCTCCTAGCAGCCCGCCAATGCGCAGGGTGGTGTCTCCCGGGCGCAACGTAGCGAGTCCGGATGCTGAGAGGGTACAACAGGTGCTCCATCTCGAACTGTCTGTCCTCAAGGACGTCACAGCCAAGGGCAAGATCACCCCCCACGGACATAGGACACGAAGAGGCAACAACTAGACCAGCAAGGTAGGCACGGTGGCAAGTAGTGGAAAAGCATGCGAGCTCAGCTACTAAGGCAGAAGCAGCAGTAGTCGAAGAAGCAGGTGCAGTCACAAGCGCGGCTAGACAAGGGATAGTCGGGCGAGCAGCACGAGCAAGGTCAGGCACAGGGTCAGGAACGGCAGGAAAAGAAGACGGGGGAGGTAACGGCAGTACAACAGGCTCCCGAGTAACACGAGAGGTAGCAGGGGAGACGGGCGGCAACAGTGGCCGAGACAGGTCAGGCGGCGGAAACAAAAGCGGAGGAGTAGGACGAGTGGGCGCCGGCTCAGGTAGCGACGACGACGGCTGCTCCAAGAAGATAGTCCGCCGCGGCAGCGACTGCAACGCACCCCCAGACCCAGCACCTCCAGTACCAGTACATCCCTGTCCACCAACAAGAGGACTCCTAGCACTCCCAGAGTCAGCACCCCCAAAACCAGCACCCTCAGAACCAGCACCCCCAGAACCAGCACCCCCAGAGCCACCACCCCCAACAGCACCTGGGCCCCTGAAGTCTACAGCGACAGGCTGCAGAGGAGGCGAAGATGTCCGAGGCGGAAAACCCGGAGGTGTCTCCAAGCGCGGCGAGCGGCGAGAGGTCGCTGTGTCCGCAGCAGCAGGTTCACCCCCCTCAGTCGAGCCAGAGGAGTCAGAGGGGACTACGAGGCACGACAGAACAGTGGAGGGGTGCGCATAGACTAGTCCAGAGGTGGGGTCGGCCAGCGTGACAGGGACCGAGAGCAACGCCTCCGCAGGAACCGCACCGTTGCTGGTAGACGTACAAGCAGCGACACACGAAGACTCTAACTGCTGCTGCCCGCCCCCGCCACTCTCGCCAGCTCCACTACAACCACCCTCGTCAGCCACAGGGAAGGTAAGAGGCAGCTCAGGACGGCCTAGGGTGGCAGGAGGAGGGGGGGGGGGAGTGCGCTAACCACAGCGGTATATAAAGCAAGGGCCGACGGCACCTTGCGAAAGTTGGCTCTGTGGTCAAGCGAGAGGTGAGCGCGGACTGCAAGTATGGTGGCGGCGTCGCGCGCCATCCACCGCTTGTAGGCAATGTGGTCAGCGCGGTATTGCGTCTGCACCTCCTCCCTAGCGGCAGCAGCAGGCTTAGCAGGAGCCTCGGGGGGCGGAAGGGACCCCGACGTGTGCTCGAACAGGGAGGCGTTGGCCTGAGTAACACTCTAAAGGTACTGGTGCAGACCCTCTAGCCAGGACTTGGCTAAGCCTGAACTGTATCGGGTGGCCCTCGGTGTCAAAGGTGAGCACAGTGGGAGTCGCCATAGCAGCAGTAACGGCACCAGTAGCAGTAGCAAGGGCAGTAGCAGCAGCAGCAAAGGCGGCAATTGCGGCGGCTGTAGCAGTAGCAGCGCTCGGGGCAAGGCGGCGCTAACGCGGGACAGGGCAGCGGGGGGCAGCGCACGCGGGTGGCAGCAGCACCTAGGGCGGCAGCAGCAGGCGGCGGCACCTAGGGGGACAACACCTAGGGCAGCAGCAGGCGGCAGCACCTAGGGCGGCAGCAGCAGGACCTAGGGCGGCAACACGGCAGTGTTTAGGGCGGCATCGGCAGCACTTAGGGCGGCAGCAGCAGGCGGGAGCACCTAGGGCAGCAGCAGGCGGTAGCACCTAGGGCGGCAGCAGCAGGCGGCAGCACCTAGGGCAGCAGCAGGCGGTAGCACCTAGGGCGGCAGCACCTAGGACGGGGCAGAGCGCGCAGTCAGGGCAAGCGTGCAGGCAGGGCAGGCGCTCAAGGCAGGCAAGGAAGTCGCGCGCGGGCAGCGCACGGTGCAGGGCGGCGTGCGGGCGGGAGCTGCAGCAGCGGGCGACAGCTGCAGCAGTGGCACTTGCGCGCGGGCAGGGCAGGGGAGCGCGGGCGCTGGGCAGCGGGGCGCGCACGGGCACAGGGCAGCGGGGCACGCGCGGGCGCTGGGCAGCGGGAGTACCGTCCACCCCTACATATAAGCACCCCTGGTGTTATCATAAAACGTGTCTTTTTTAGGGGTGCACTAATAGTCGATGATTTTTCTAAGCGTCGGAGTTGATGTACGGCAGGGCCTCAGATATCAGGAAAAAAACCCTGAAATTCCTGATTTTGGCAGTCCTTTTTTTACCTACCCTGAAAAGTCAGTGTTGAGATTTTTGAGGGACTGATCTTTCAGCCTTTTTTGTTAGGCCACGCTGAAATTTCAGACTTTTTTCCCCTAGGACACTGATGCCACAACGTTGTAACGAAAACAACACTGAAGCGATTCTTACCTGTGCCATGTGGATTTGACATCAATTACAGGGAATCTCAGATTCCCGAGGTGTAAGCACCCTGTGGCGAGGCCAACCTGTGAAATTCTGCCTCTGGTTCACGTTCAGAGGTGTTTTGTTGGCGCGGCGCCTCACACCATTGGGTCGTTTCGCTGCAGCAGTCAGTCTTGGCCAATCCGAACGTGGCCACCATGTGGTGCTGGAGAGCTGCCAAGGATCCTGCCCCGTTGCCATCACATGCGACGCGTTAGTGACAGCCTATTTACTAGTGCTACACTAATGCATCAGGCTTTTTACAAACGCAACACTGACATTTCAGGCTTTTTTTTTTTGGAACACTGCCAATCAGAGTTTACACACAGGGGGGCCCTGATGGGTTGACGACCCTAAAAGTGAATCTGAGGGCCTGATGTACGGTAATGAAATATATGAGATTCTGATTTTCTTTACACCAAGATGCAATACAAGGATGATGATCTTTAGGTTTTTTATGAGTTGTAAAACAAAGTGCGTGGAATAAACAAATAACGAAGCGGTGATTAAATGAAGATCGCGATACAATGAAAGTGATGGGGTAATACCGTATATGGCAAAGCTAGTTATGTGAGAACCTCGGGGAGACGAGGCTTGGAAGGGTGGTGAAAGGTGTGGTGGCGAATCGGGATTGGTTCGGGGCCGGAATGTAGGCTGGACCAGCTGACTTGAGCCCGACGGGAATGTCTAGTGAGTTGTTGTAATTCCTTACAAGGTGATCATTCTTACCAGAACAATTTGGTTAAAAGCCAGAACCGCTCGGTACCACACTCTACCGTACGAGCACCAACGTGTCCTGAAATCCCCCCTCCAGAGTTACTGGGGCCCTAGACTAGAGCATCCATCCCGCGCTGCCTGTTGAACCGTTGGATGGCAAGCATTGGTGCTGCCTGCTGCCTGCTCCCCATTCACCCATGCTCGGCCCGCTCCATCTCCTCGCTCACACCACACCCCTCGATACCGCCGTCCCCTCGCCGCACCGACATGCCCGCCGCCCTCTCCGCCTGGGTGTGCCTCGCGCTCAACGTCACCGCCGCCTGCCACCTCCTGCTGCTTCCCCCGCGCGGCTCCCTTCCAACCGCCGCGCATTCCCGCGCGTCGAACACCGGCCAATCAGACGCGGGCAGTGAAGGTGACCCGCGGGTTGACTTGGGAGGCGGGTTCTGCGCCGCGGGTCTGAGCGTCGCAGGCGCCGTGCTATGGCCGTGCTCGTCGCAGCATCGTCGCCGTGCGACGGGCGCCGTGTGGGCCAGCGCGGGCGGAATGGCGGAGCATTGCGACGGCGCGACGGACGGCGGCGGCGGCGGCGCTGACGCGCGGCCGTGGTAAGAGGCGCAGTGCCGTCGCGGTTTACTTTTGAGGCGCCTTCAAAGTAGGCGCTGTGCCGTCGTGGTTCCCATCTGTCCGCGCGCCCCTCCTCCCGCCTGTCTTCCACGTACTCACCGCTCCGCGCCCCTGTTCCCAGCGCCGTTGCTCCCCACGGCCCCCATACCATACAGCCTTATGCAGTCCACCGCAGGCGTCTCCATAACCCTCTGCATTTCTCTCCCCCCTCCTCCGCACCCCTCTCTCCCTCCTTTCGTTTCCCCCAGCAACTCACCCCATCACAAGCTTCAACCGTCGCCATCGTCTTCCCTTCGCATGCGCTACCCCTCCCCTCTCTGCCTCTCTGTCGCTCTGCTTCTCTCTGCCTCTCTGCCTCTCTAGCCCTCTCGCCCTCTCTAGCCCTCTCGCAAGCTATAACACCTCGCTACCCACTGGGTCAAAACGAGGGTATTCTTTGGCACAGCGGAGTGCCCCTTAACACAGCCCACAGGCGTTACACAAGCCCACCACTTGCTCCCATTCGCACCCCCCACGGCCACGTCACTACCCTTCCCTCTCTTTTTCCTCACCCTCCTACCACACTCCCCCAACCCCCTCCCCACCTTTCCCAATCCCCGCATCCCTTCCTCCTGTATCCCGCCCCTCTGCCCCCCCAAGCAGCAGGCTACAGGGGGAGCTGGTGGCGCTGGGCGCAAGCTGGGGGGAAGCGGAAGGGGGGAGGCGGAGAGGGAGAGGGGGGCGGGCGGGGAAGCAGCAGCAGAGGGTTGGCGGGGAGCAAGGAGGCAGCGGGAGCAGAGCGCTGGAGGAGCAAGGGGGGCGCACCGTTGAGAGCGAGGCGGGTGGAGGGGTGGTGTGGGCGGATGGGACGTGCGCCCAGCTGTTCCTCCTGGAAGGTGTGGTGTGGTGAGAGACCGTGAGACCACCGGCGCCCTCCCCTCGTGGTGGCGTGGTGTGGTGTGGTGTGGTGTGGTGTGGTGTGGTGTGGTGTGGTGCGGTGCGGTGCGGTTCGGTGTTTGTGGCATCTGTGAGAGCTAATCACCCTCCTCTCTCGCACTTCCCCTCTCTCTCTACCTCATCATTTCGCCGTTGTCGCCTTTTCTTTCACCCAGCCACCTCAAATTTTATCTCGCCATCCCACTCAGCCATGCCATCCCTACATAGCGGCCTGGCATGGCATGGCATGTCATAGGGCCGGGTCAGGCCGGACTTGGGATCTGTTGCAAGTCGCCTACATTCTCCTGCCTAGAAAGGCGTGTCATTATGTTGTACAGTGCGCGTCAGGCGGCTATTTTTCCCGCCAAATATTCCTAGGAGTGTAGATCGATGGATAACGCGTTTTGACGGGTGCTGCTTGGCCTTGACCATTCCATTTCCTCTGTATGTTCTGTACTCTGGTTACCACCATAGTAGAACCTCTAACCCGTTAACCCATTCGTCACGGGTCAGCCCAGCCCAGGGGCCAGAACCGGCAAACGGCCGGCCTCTGTCTGTCCTCCCAGCCCATACTGGCCCATCGCATGTAAGTGTGGCTTGGGACAAACGGGGGCCAGACCCATCTCGAAGCATGGCCTGATAGAGTGTTCTACTCATTTCTGAATTTGTATATATTAGAAGTTGGCCTGTTGTGGATGCGTGCCTACCTACATCTATCCATCCACCCATCCTCCATATACCCTTTTGACCATTCCACGCGTGCCCTTTTGCACTCGTCCTGCTTTTCCCCTCCCGCTTCCTTGTACGTCGTCCCCCATTGGCCCCCCCCTGTGCCACAGGTACATGCCTCCGCGCTATCTCGCTAGCGCACCAGCACACCATGCATACCCATACCCGAGTCAACACCCCCTCCACCTCCGTGCCGCATTGGTCCTCGCCCCACTCCATGCTGTGTGTGCCGCTCACTTCACATCGGCTTTCCACTCCCCCACCCAGCCCCTCTTCCTCCTCCACCATCTCCTCCTCCTCCTCCTCCTCCTCCTCCTCCTCCTCCTCCTCCTCCTCCTCCTCCTCCTCCTCCTCATCCTCCTCCTCCTCCTCCTCCTCCTCCTCCTCCTCCTCCTCCTCCTCCTCCTCCTCCTCCTCCTCCTCCTCCTCCTCCCCTTCTCCCTCATCCCGCGGTCCACACTCCTTCCCATCATCACCCCCTCCAGCCGCTACCAACCCCTCGCCATCTCAGCTACAGCCGCACTCATTCCCCCCGACACCTTTCACTGCCCCCCCACACGTCGCTGACACCCAGGTGGGCTCCCTTGCCTGCCTGCCTGCCTGCCTCCTGTGTCGCCCTTCTGTTCCCATGACCTGGCCTTCCCTGTCTCTCCCCATGCCTGTTGTCACACTGACCACATGTCTGCCTTGCATGCCTCCCATAACTGCCTGCCTGTGTCCCCAACTCGCCCCCATCTCGTTCCCAAATCGCCCCCATCTCGTTCCCAACTCGTCCCCATCTCGTCCCACACCTCGTCCCCACCTCCCCCGCCACTTCGATCCGCACATCGGGCTCCTGTGCCTCTTGTCACTTCTCCACTCGCAACCATGCCACTATGCAACGCAACCCATACCCTAGCCTGCCTCTGTCCCCACCACTCGTCTCTGTAGCAGCCCCCACCACACATCTCTGCCCCTGCTGCACCCTCTGCCATGCACCTTGGCACCTCACGGACCACAAACGCGCCACAGCACAGCACATGAGACACTGTGTGTACTGAAGCAACCCTTCCCCTACCCAACCCCCCTGCGGCCTGCCTCCACGTGTGCTTCCCTTACCTCTCTACCAGGAGATAGCACGGCTGCGGCGAGCCGTGCAGGCGGCGCCTGGAGACATTTCCCCGCTGTTCCAACGAGGTGCAGGAATTTGGGGGGAATCGGAGGGGGGGGGGGGGTGGTAGTGGGGGATGGGAAAAAGGAAATGGAGGGAATCAGGAGGAAGATAGGTGAAACGGGAAGGAGGAACAAGTGTGTGGAAGGAGTGGGAGAGGGCAAGGAGGAAGAAGTGAGAGGACAAGGTTGTGAGGGGGCAGCAGGGATTGCAAAGGGGAGGGAGGTGGAGGGAGGACGGATTGATAAAGCAAGATGCATAGAGCATTGCTAACTCGTTTTCAAGCAGCATCCACTCTCTCAAACACAGCCACGGATGTCACAGCGGTCAGCTGAAGCTCCCTTCACATTACACCATCCTCTCCTCTCCTCCCCCCCCCCCCCGTCCTCCCTCCCCCCGGAATCCCACTCTGCGCCTCCATCCGGCCTTGTCTCCATCGCGCATTTCCGCCCACCCTCACCTCCGTCCGTCCCACCCCACCCCTTCTTTGTCGCGTATTCCCACTCCTGGCAGGCGTGGCGCTGTTGGGCGCAGTCCGCAACTGGGAGGCCATAGAGGACTTCAGGGCCGTGCTGCTGCTCTCACCATATCACCACAACGCACGCGCACACCTGGTTCGTACCGCTGTGCTCTACCCTCCACCCACTTCCCTCCCATTCCCCCCTTGCCCCCCTTTCCCCCACCTCCTCACCTTCCTTTTTCCCACACGAACAGCGCACACATCTGCATGCAGTGAACCCCAACACAAACCCTCCCACCCCCCTCCCCTCCCCCCCCACTCTCCCCTTCTTCCCTCCTCCTTCCCCACCCCCCCTCTCCCTCTCCCCTCCCTCCCCCTCCTCTGCACCCCCAGGCGCAGGCGCTTCTGGAAGCGGGGCGGTGTGGGGAGGCGGTGGGGGAGCTACAGGCGGTGGTGGCGGCGCAGGGGCAGTACTGGCAGGTGCGCGTGGTGCTGGGGCAGGCGCTCCTGGTGGCGGGGCATGCACAGGAGGCCGACTCCACTCTGCAGGCCGTTTTGGCCATGGACGCACGGTGAGCAAAGGAGGGAGGGCAGGAGACGGGGGGAGGGGAGGGAGGGACGGGAGGGAAAAGGAGGTGGTGGCTGGGGGGAGAGGGAGGGATGAGGAGGGGAGGGAAGACGAAACGAGGGGAGGGGGGATTTTGGGTGGGGGTAGCGGGAACGGTGAGGAAAAGGGGGGAGAGGAGGGGGGGAAAGGGGACAGGAGCGGACGGGAAGGAGTGGAGAGAGGGAGTGTGGTGGGGAGGGAGTGTGGTGGGGGAGGGAGTGTGGTGGGGGAGGGAGTGTGGTGGGGGAGGGAGAGTGGGAGAGCGAAGGGACATCCAGATGCTGTGAAAGAAGTGCAGAGAGCCATCGTGCCGTGCTATGTGAACGTGCGAGCAGGCAATCCCATGCGCTTGCTTCAATTTGAGCTACCACCCACCACCACAGTGCTCCGCTGTCTCTGCTCTGCTCTGCTGGTCTCTGCCATCTCTCTTCCCCCCATCCACCTACTCCCCAGCAACGTGGAGGTGCAGCGCATATACGCCAACTTCCATTTCTCCATGGGCCACCCACTGCTGTGCTCTGCTGTCCCTGCTCTGCTCTGCTGGGCTCTCTGCCATCTCCCTCCCCGCTCCCCCCTCTCCCCCCTCTACTCCCAGCAACGTGGAGGTGCAGCGCATATACGCCAACTTCCATTTCTCCATGGGCCACCACCAGTACGCTCCCCCAGTCCCCTTAGCCCCTCTCTCCACTCTAACCCCCTCTCAATCACCCTTTTCACAAAACCCCACTCAATTCACTCCCCCAACTCGACTCACCCTTCCAACCCAAAGCAGCAACCCCTCGTCACAACCCCCCCCTGACCCAGCACAGTTCTCCGCTGGCCAGGGTAGCAATGCAGTAACGCTGCAATGAGGTGTTTCTACCCTGCATTGCTGCATTACTGCACCATCGCGCCTTGAGTCTGCTCTGCTCCACAGGCCTCCCCCCCCAACCCTTTTCCCTGCTCGCCACCACCACTCTCTCCTGCACTCGTGTCCTCTCTCGGCACATCTGCGTCATCACTTCTCGCCGTTTCCCTCTTGCACCTTCCTCTCCCCTCTCAGCCCCTCCATACCCCGTCCTTCCTATGGTATCTGGCCACTCTTCTCTGTGCTATTCTTCACATGCATGCACATAATCAGTGCCTGCACAGCACTGCACTGCACGCGCCCATCTTACGCTCCTCTGTCTGTCCCTATGCGCCCATCGCATGCATGAATCCCACCGTGCCAACCCACCGTGCCAACCCACCGTGCCAACCCACCGTGCCAACCCACCGTGCCAACCCACCGTGCCAACCCACCGTGCCAACCCACCATGCTTATCCCACAGCACCGTCCTATCCACAGCACAACACGTCCTCAGCATCGCACCATCAGACATCGAGATGCGCTTCCTGGAAGCTTCGTGTCTGCACGCCATGGGCCGATGGGCTGAAGCGGTCAGTGTCTCCCCTAACCCTCACACCTCTCCACCAAGTGGAACCCCTCCCCACCAGTCAGCACCTTGCAGCCCTGTGCTGCCATTCTTGCATTCCCGACTTTGCCCATCCCTCGGCCTTCGCCCACCGCGCTCCCCTCGCACATCCGTCTCCCCACACTTTTCCTTCCACCTGTCTGTGCCCGCATGGCAGGTGCGCCAAGTACAATGACCTCATGAGCCTCGCCCACCTCTCTGCTCTCACCGATTCCACTCCCATTGCCATCCCTCTGCCCACACTTGTTCACCTGCCCGTGCTGCTGCCGTGCCCTGGCAGGTGCGCAAGTACAACGACCTTATGAGCCTCGCCCCACCACCAGGCACCGACCCTGGCAGGCTCTACCAGGCCTTTTACCAGGTCACTGCTGCTGCTGCGCCTTTGGTTGCTGCTGCACCTTTGGTTGCTGCTGCGCCTTCGCTTGTTGCTGCGCCTTTGGTTGCTGCTGCGGCTTCTGTTGCTGCTGCGCCTTCGGTTGCTGCTGCTTTAGTGACCGACCTGTGTGCTCGTATCATGCAACATAATACCACAAACTACCTTGTATAAGCACTACCAGTGCTGCTACTTCACTCACTCCCCCTGCCCCTCAATTGTCTGCCTGCATTCTCCTCATGTGTGTGCGTGCATGTGTGTGCTTGCATGCGCGTGTGTGCGTCCATGTGTGCGCATGCGTGCGTATGTGCGTATGTGCGTATGTGTGAGCGTACGTGCGTGCTTGTGCATGCATTCGTGTCTGTGCCTGCTTTTCTGCATGCGCATGCACGCGTGTGCATGGAATGCGAGTGCACTGCATGGGCCACAGAGGGAGGTGGCGCTGTACATGGCAGCAAGGCAGAGCAAGCCCCTCTCTCTCTTCCGACCATTGGACCACCTTGGACCTCTCTTCAATGTGACGCCTCTGCTCATGCCCATTGCTCATACCCATTGCTCATGCCACTGCTGCTTGCAATATTACACTTGCTGCAAGTTACTTCCCCCATTCCCCTCATCCCCTCATTTCCCCTTCCCCTCATCCCTCCCTCCCCTCATCCCCCCTTCCCCTCATTCCCTCCCCTCAATCCCCCCTCCCCTCATCCCCCCTTCCCCTCATTCCCTCCCCTCAATCCCCCCTCCCCTCAATCCCCCCTCCCCTCATTCCCCCCTCCCCTCAACCCCCATTCCAGACTTCCTCTCCCCTCTTCCTGAAGATTCCTTTTCCCAACAAAACCCCCTTTTCCCCCACACCCCACCCCCTCTCCCCTCTCCACTCGTTCTCCCCATCCCTTCTCCAGACACCACCACCACCACACCACCACCACCACACCACCACCACCACCACCACCACTCACACAGGAAGCATGGAGCAAGCGCCTGCCTCCCTCTGTGCTCTCTCCTGGCTACGAGCTCCAATAGGAAGGGCGGGGACACATGGTGGCACAAAAGGTCTTTCAAGACGTTTCAAAACGTCTTTCCATCCCCTTCCCTTCCCCACGCACACACACACACTACCACTAACACCACCGCCGGTGCAGGAAGCGTGGAGCAAGCGCATGCCGCCCTCCATGCTCTTCCCCGGATACGAGCTCCAGAAGGAAGGGCGCGCACATGGTGGCACAAAAAGGCCAGGCGCAGCAGGGGAGGATGATGCGGTGCTGCCGCCCCCTGTGCTGCAGGTGGTGGGGGCGGCTGAGCGGCTGGGCGCACTCACAGCGTACGACTGGCACGGATTTCTGCCCAACATGCGCCAGGTGGGTGCTGGGGGCGAGGGGCTGATGATGGTGGCACGAAAAGGGCAGGCGCAGCAGGGGAGGCTGATGCGGTGCTGCCGCCGGCTGTGCTGCAGCTGGTGGGGGCGGCTGAGCGGCTGGGCGCACTCACAGCGTACGACTGGCACGGATTTCTGCCCAACATGCGCCAGGTGGGTGCTGGGGGCGAGGGGCTGATGATGGTGGCACGAAAAGGGCAGGCGCAGCAGGGGAGGCTGATGCGGTGCTGCCGCCGGCTGTGCTGCAGCTGGTGGGGGCGGCTGAGCGGCTGGGCGCACTCACAGCGTACGACTGGCACGGATTTCTGCCCAACATGCGCCAGGTGGGTGCTGGGGGCGAGGGGCTGATGATGGTGGCACGAAAAGGGCAGGCGCAGCAGGGGAGGCTGATGCGGTGCTGCCGCCGGCTGTGCTGCAGCTGGTGGGGGCGGCTGAGAAGCTGGGCGCACTCACAGCGTACTACTGGCACGGATTTCTGCCCAACATGCGCCAGGTGGGTGGATGCTGTTGGGGGAAGAGGGGGAGAGGTAGAGGTGATCCGGGGATTTTCTGAGTGAACTTACACAGTCACCTCGCCGCCTGAGTTGTCCGTATGATTCAAGATTGAGTTGACTCAACACATGTGCGACTGGCATTGCTCCTGCCCAACACTCGCAAGGTGGGTGTGGATGGGATGGGAGGTTGAGATGGGGGTAGGCAGGGAGGAAATTTGAATGGATGGTCCTGTGCTGTCTCTTAACGTCTGTGACTCGCGATTTTCTGGGGAACAATCCATCCCTCCCTCCCTTCCCCCCCCCCCATCACTTCCCCCTCCTCCCCCCTGGGTGCATGGGGCACCACGACCAGTACCGCATGGCAGAGCTGGCAATGATGGACATTCTTTCAGGCGCCTTAACAAGTCTATCCCCTCCCTCTCCTCCCTCTCCCCTCCTTCTCGCTCCCTCCCCCCCCCCCCCCCTCCCCCCCCCGCGCCACCAATATTGCATTGCAGGGCTGGCAATGATGGACATTCTTTCTGTTAGAGAGCTTGACAAGTCCATTCCTTCCCCTCCTCCCTCTCCCCTCCTTCGCACTCCCTCTTCTCCCACCACCACCCCCACCAGTACCGCATGGCAGGGCTGGCAATGATGGACCTTCGGGACCTGGTGCGCCGCACATGGGCAGTCATGGCGGAGGAGAGAGACAGCGTGGTGGAGAGCGGTGCGAATGAGCAGCAGGCGGAGGGCAAGCGGGGTTCGGGAGGGAAAAGAGGGCAGCGGCGGCAGCAGCGAGAACAGCAGGAGGAGGAAGGGGGAGGAGAGGAGAGGAAGGGAGGGGAGGGGAGGGGTGAGGGGGCGAGGGGGCAGAGAGGGCGGAGAAGGCGGGGGGAGACGGTGGCGGGGTGGCGGGGCGTGTATGACCGTGTGGTGAGGTGGCGACAGCTGGCAGAGCCAAGCACGGCCGTGGTTTGGATGGATCGACTCAGGTGGGGAGGGGTGTGTGTGGAGCGGGAGGGCAGGGAGGGCAGGGAGGGCGGGGAGGGCAGGGAGGGCGGGGAGGGCGGGGAGGGCAGGGAGGGCAGGGAGGGCAGGGAGGGCAGGAAGGGTGGGTCATGTGTTCTTGAGGCGCCTCATGTAGAGTCACCTGGTCAGGGCGTATGTGTCCGTCGTTGTTACTTCTGACCATTTGGCCGAGCATGGCCTGGGATAGCATTGCATGCGATGCGGATAGGAGCATTGTGCTGCCATCACCCTGTGGCATGGCATGCCCCTTCCCCTGATTCCGCATGCCCCCTTCTCCCTCTCACCCCGTAAACCCACTTCCCCCTTCGCACCCCACGTGCCCCCTACCCCTTCGCACCCGGTGTGCTCCTTCCTGCACCCTGCATGCGCCCTGTGTGTGGTGAGAGCAGTGAGAGCGAGCAGCATGCAACACTGGACACGCCACTCATGAACGGGCAGTCCATCAACGCACGCTACTCGCCCTACTACAACCGGTGGGTACCTACTCACTCACTCATTCACTCGCTCACTCGCTCACTCATTCGCCCACTCACTCAGTCACTCACATGCTCGCTCACTCACTCACCTCACTCACTCACTCACTCTCTCGCTCACTCACTCACTCACCTCACTCACTCACTCACACGCTCATTCACTCACTCACACGCTCGCTCATTCACTCACCACACTCACTCACCCACTCACTCGCTCACTCACTCATCTCACTCACTCATGCCACCGAGTTGACTTGTGAGTTCACACCCACAGGTCATCAATGCATGCTGCTCACCCACCTGCTCATGGTTCGCCTTGGGGTTTACCACACATGCACGCACCTTGCACACACTCATGCCACTTCTTCCCTGAGAAGCTTGCAACCTTTTCCCTTTCTGCCTCCTCTCTCCCTCTAAAACAGTCTCTACTTTCCCTTTCCTTCCCTCTCCCCCTTTCCCTCTTATTCCCCACCTTTTTCCCCTGATCCCTCTTCTTCTTCCCCTTTTCCCCTCTCCTTTCAACTCCCCTTTCCCCTCCTGCTCCCCCCTCTCCATTTCCCTTCTCCTTTCTCCTCTCCCTGCCCCCCGTTTTTCCCCTCCCTTTTCCTGGCTCCATTCCCCTCCCCTTTGCCCCTTCCTCTTCCCCCTCCCACCCCTCTCCAGCACCCTTCATCTACTGCACGCGCTCATGCTGCAGAGGGCACCATCAGCAGCAGACAGGATGGAGCAGGTGAGTTGTGCTACTAGCTCCTTGCTCTTGAGTCCACTCAAAAGTCGCTCATGCTGCAGAGGGCACCATCAGCAGCACACAGGATGGAGCAGGTGAGCTGTGCTCTGCTGCCAGCCCTTTTGCCCTTCAGCCGCCGCCCCTCCTCTGCTCTGCTCTATCTTGACCTCTCAGCGGCTCTTTCCTCTTCCTTTTCTCCCTTCGTTTGTCCCTCCCGTCCGTTCTGCTTTTTCTCCATGGCATGGCCTGGCATGGGACGGCATGTATGGCATGGCATGGCATGGCATGGCATGGCATGGCATGGCATGGCATGGAACGGCATGGCATGGCATGGCATGGCACTGCATGGAACGACATGGCATGGCATGGCATGGCATGGCAATGCATGGAATGGCATGGGATGGCATGGCGCGGCATGGCACATGGGCAAACAGCTGGCAGTGGCAGGGAGTGTGGAGGAGGTGTGGGCAGTGGCGGGTGGAGACTCATGGGCCACCATTCCCTGCCACAGCACAGCATCCCCTGGGTGGGTGAGAGAGGCAGAGAGGGGGAGTACTACTGCTGAACGGGGGGAGAGGGCTGTTGAGAAGATGAGTGGGAGCATAGCCCCAAGAGCCCATTACCTCTTCAGAAGTCGTCTCATGGGCCACCGTTCTTTGAGTCGACTCAAAACACAAAGTCGTCTCATGGGCCTCCGTTCTCTGCCACAGCACAGCGTCCCCTGGGTGATAGGCAATATTGAGTGGGGAAGAGGAGGGCGGGAAGGCAATAGCGAAACGAAAGGAGGGATGGGAACGCAGGGTGAATGGCGACGGGACCGTGATGGAGAGTGAAGGTTGAGATACAATCAGCCTGGCAAGAGGGAGAGGACACTTCCCCGCCTTCCCCCTTCTACTCCATGCACTGCTTGCTTGCTTGCTTGCTTGGCCGCCTTGCTCTCATCGCCCTGGCCCTCCCCTGCTCTCCTCCCCCTCATCCCCCCGCCCCTGTCACCAGCACACTGCTTAACGGCACTCGAATCACCCTCTCCCGCACGTGAGTCACCGCACCTCACCTCACCTCACCTCACCTCACCTCACTTCACCTCACCTCCCCTCACCTCACCTCACTTCACCTCACCTCCCCTCACCTCACCTCACCTCACCTCACCTCACTTCACCTCACCTCACCTCATCTCACCTCCCCTCCCCTCACCTCCTCTCTCCTTATCTACTTGGCTTGGCAGCTCCACAACAGCCGCCCACCCACCTCACTACTCCACTCTCCTCCTTCCACATCTCCCTCCATTCCGCATCTCCCCCATCTCATCTACATCTTTCCTTGAGTATCGAGCCTTGCAACTTCTCATGTACACTGGCTGCTCTGATGCTATGAGTGCTCATTGGGTGATTGAGCCGTGTTTTGAGTTGACTCAAAATGTAGCCGTGCAACTTCTCATGTACACTGGCTGCTCTGATGCTATGAGTGCTCATTGGGTGATTAGGCACCGGTTTGAGGCACAGCATGCAAGCTAGTGCATGTTCCATTAGGCTCAAGTTTACCCGCTCATGCCCACTCCCGCCCACTCTTACCCACTCCCGCCCACTCCCGCCCACTCCTGCCCACTCCCGCCCACTCCTGCCCCATGATTCCTGTGCAGTGCTTGTGCTGCCCATTCATCCGTCCTTCCCTCCCCCCTCCCTTCCATAGCTCCTCGAATGCATGGCCATGGGCCATATTCACAGATTCTCACCCTTCTGCTTCCTTCACGCCCCTATCCCATGTGTGCATGTGCGCCCTGCCGCCCTTTTAACCTACTGCCACCAGTCCCACGTACTACCGGCTGTCCATCAACGTGTTTGTCACGCAGCAGCGCATCCAGCAGTACAACCACGAGATGGACGCCGCATGGAAGGTGAGTGTTGAGGACGCCGCATGGAAGGTGAGTGTTGAGGACGCCGCATGGAAGGTGAGTGTTGAGGACGCCGCATGGAAGGTGAGTGTTGAGGACGCCGCATGGAAGGTGAGTGTTGAGGACGCCGCGTGGAAGGTGAGTGTTGAGGACGCCGCATGGAAGGTGAGTGTTGAGGACGCCGCATGGAAGGTGAGTGTTGAGGACGCCGCATGGAAGGTGAGTGTTGAGGACGCCGCGTGGAAGGTGAGTGTTGAGGACGCCGCGTGGAAGGTGAGTGTTGAGGACGCCGCGTGGAAGGTGAGTGTTGAGGACGCCGCGTGGAAGGTGAGTGTTGAGGACGCCGCGTGGAAGGTGAGTGTTGAGGACGCCGCGTGGAAGGTGAGTGTTGAGGACGCCGCATGGAAGGTGAGTGTTGAGGACGCCGCGTGGAAGGTGAGTGTTGAGGACGCCGCGTGGAAGGTGAGTGTTGAGGACGCCGCGTGGAAGGTGAGTGTTGAGGACGCCGCGTGGAAGGTGAGTGTTGAGGACGCCGCGTGGAAGGTGAGTGTTGAGGACGCCGCGTGGAAGGTGACTGTTGAGGACGCCGCATGGAAGGTGAGTGTTGAGGACGCCGCGTGGAAGGTGAGTGTTGACGACGCCGCGTGGAAGGTGAGTGTTGAGGACGCAGCGTGGAAGGTGAGTGTTGAGGACGCCGCGTGGAAGGTGAGTGTTGAGGACGCCGCGTGGAAGGTGAGTGTTGAGGACGCCGCATGGAAGGTGAGTGTTGAGGACGCCGCGTGGAAGGTGAGTGTTGAGGACGCCGCGTGGAAGGTGAGTGTTGAGGACGCCGCGTGGAAGGTGAGTGTTGAGGACGCCGCGTGGAAGGTGAGTGTTGAGGACGCCGCGTGGAAGGTGAGTGTTGAGGACGCCGCGTGGAAGGTGAGTGTTGAGGACGCCGCGTGGAAGGTGAGTGTTGAGGACGCCGCGTGGAAGGTGAGTGTTGAGGACGCCGCATGGAAGGTGAGTGTTGAGGACGCCGCGTGGAAGGTGAGTGTTGAGGACGCCGCGTGGAAGGTGAGTGTTGAGGACGCCGCGTGGAAGGTGAGTGTTGAGGACGCCGCGTGGAAGGTGAGTGTTGAGGACGCCGCGTGGAAGGTGAGTGTTGAGGCGCCTCAAACTCACCGCACCGTGTTTGTCACGCAGCAGCGCATCCAGCACCAGCAGTATAACCACGAGATGGACGCCGCATGGAAGGTCCGTGCTTGCTGCTTTCCTCGCTCCCATCCCATGCTGCCTTCCTTTTGTCGTATCTGCCTTCCATACCTGGTCTGCAATGCCCTCCTTTCCCTCCCTCCACGCCCCTTCTCCTCCCCCGCTCCTCCTCCATGCCACTGCTGCTCCTCCACCCTTGCTTCCCAACAACCCATGCCCATGTCCTCTGCTTCATCTCAATGCATTGGTCATCTTTTCCCACAGTCAATGCCTCTCGCAACTGCTTCTCCTCCATTCAACTCCTGCTTTTTTCTCCGCACCTTCCCCCTTTTCCTCCCTCGAAGACTCTGGTTGGTTTCGATATGTCCAGCATTCTCAACCCACCTCCCCCCGCCGCATCCTTCCCCGAGGAACTGAACAGAGCAGACATGAGCACGGAACAGAACACCACCCTCCGCTCCTCCCTTCACCTCTTGCTGTTTCCGTCCCCCCACCACCTCCCTTCTCCCCCCCCCTCCCCAAGCCGTTATGCTTTCAATATATAAAGTACCCTCTTTCTCCACTTCCCCCTTCCCCTCTGACCAGGCGCTGTGCGCAGCATACCTTGACTCAAGGCTGAAGGAAAGCAACATCACGGAGTATCGGCATCGTATTCACCGCGCCATCCTCACCCTCTCCTTCTACTGGTGCGTGCGGGGGAAGCGGGAGGAGGAGAAGGATGACGAGAGTAGGAATTGGGTGTGAAGTGGGGGAGGGGAGGGTTGAAGGGTGGGGGGGGGCATGGCCGGCGGAGAGGCATGAAGGCAGGGCAAGTTTCACCTCATGTTGCACATTGAGTTTCGCTTGATGGGAGGGGCTAGGACAACATCTTTTGCCCAGAGGTGGAAGGCAATGCAGGGACTGGAATCGATCTTTCCCATGATCATTTCCCTTCACGTGTCCATCCGGCTCCCTTCTCTTTCCATTCCGCCCTTCCTGGTTGCCCGCTCGGGCCCCCACAGGTACAAGTACGGGCCACTGACCCGCAGCACAGCTATGGTGGGGTATGTCAGTGGTGGGCGATGCAGGGACCGGGCTTGGTCCTTGCCATGAGCATTTCTCCCATCCAACCCTCTACTCTTTCCGTTCCGCCTTTCCTGGTTGCCCGCTCGGGCCCTCACAGGTACCAGTACGGGCCACTGACCCGCGGCACGGCCATGGTGGGGTATGTCACCATGCTGGGGCTGTTCCTGGCAGCGGACATGCAGGTCACAGCAAATGCACCACGGGGATTTCAGGTGGGGCTCAGTTATACGGATGCAAAGCAGTATGAGTGAGACTCATGGAGATAAGGAGTGAGACTCATGGATAGGAGTGAGACTCGTGGGGAAAAGAGATGGGCTGATATTATGAGTGGCGAACTCACCCGCACACATTCAAGTGAGATTAGCGTCCCATTAAACTTCTCTTTCACTATAAGCACCTTCTCGTCACCCCCGTGTCCCCTAATTTCTGCAGGTTGACTGGGAGGCTATCCTCTCCCCGCACGTGGACTCCTTCATAGCTACTGTCTCTCCATGGCTCGTTCCCTCCATCGATTATGACTGCCCCATCTTTCACAACCTCTCCTCAGCACCAATTGCTGAGTCACTTCCGTCTCTCCAGCACGTGATCCACGCTCTCACCTACTCTGACAAACCTGCTCCTGCTTTTTGAAGCAGTTTAGTGCAATGCCTTGCATGGATGCTGCTGTCCTCTGCTGGTGCTAGAATCCAGCTTTCCCACTCATTGCCAGCTCCTAAATTGATGAGTTGTGCTCTAGCTGACAACAATTTTCATAAGTGAAAGGTGTTCTCACACAAGTAGCATGATAGCGCTGTGGAGCTTGCACCAGGACCTGCAGAGGTGCTCCACTGTTTTTGCATGGCTCCACAATGTGTTGCAGTACCTATACTTCACCAAATCTTGTTTAGCAGCTCCAATGAGTGTGTCTAGCATCAAGACAAAGGTTAGGTTATCAGTCCTGCTGCACCTATGCTCTACACGTCCTGCTGCCCTAGTATTTGCCTCCTAACAGAAAATGCTAAGTTGGCGCTCTGAGCAGTGAGCACTTGGCCCTCAAGCCAAGCTACAGCCTTTTACTACAAGAACTAACTCTGCTTGTAGCTAGTGCACTTGCCAAATGCAAGCAGACCAAAGAAGTTGGCTCTCTAGGGGTATTTGCTGAAGTTTTGTTGTAGAGATTGCCGTTTACGCAGGCAAACTCAACCGTTTGTTGTTCTTCCAACTGCATAACACAGGTACAAGACAATTAGTAAAGCGCCACTGCTATTTGCTAATCTCTATTCTAAAATGACCAGTGAAGACTGACCTGATGATGTAGTAGTAAAAGAAGTCCGCATATAGTGCTGTCTGGACCAATCCAGATATCCAAACTGGCAGTTCACATGGAGATATGACAGAGTAGCCCATAACAAGACACATGGTCATGAGTCATAAGAATTGAAGAGTTGTAAAAGCAAAAGCATGCGTGGAGATGGAAGAAGAGGGCTCACCGATCCATTGCTTGTAGTGTGGCTCAGTAATGTATCGATAAATCCAGTTTAGTATGTAGAAACCTCGATATGCGCTGGAAATTGAAGAATGCAAAACACACAAGTTAAATGAATCAATGGCTGTCTTTGGACCACACCCTTCCTTTTGTGCAGACGCAAACGGGTTCCCGACGTGCCCCAGAAAGAACAAGTACGTACCCCAGAAAGAACATGTACGTACCCCAGAAAGAACATGTACGTACCCCAGAAAGAACACGCACGTACCCCAGAAAGAACACGTAGTTCCCTGTCAGGTTGTCAATGTTCTTGGTCCGCTGAAGAAGTACGAGCTGAGGCATTATCGCCACAGCCTCGAGGTAAATGGAGAACGTCCACAAGACCTGTCGACCAATCGCGGCTAGGGTTAGACCACAGGATTCACCATTCCTAGGGAAAAACGCGGGCTACAAGAGATTCGAAGCACTGAACCGTCCGAAGTCGTCACGAGGAAGAGTAGATGTACTTACTTCAGTAACGGTGAATTTCCTGTTCACCAGCAACGCCAACACAAGGCATGGAATGACAAGGAAGACGTGTCTGAATGTGTCATGCTCCTTGTCGTACTTGTGCTTCACGATCTTGTCGTATCGCATGTAGTAGACGATCGCGAACGAGCTCGCCAGAAAGATCACTTTCATAACGGAATTGTAGACCGACACGAAAGCGTAGAAGAGGTCTAAATATCTGGTCACGAAAACCATCACGTATAGCTCTTGCGTCTTCAGCGATATACCTGTTCCCCATAACAGCGAATCACACGAGCACCCGAAGAGAACGCGGATACGGACCATGAGAACCAGTCCACCTCTTCGAGCCGATACTACCGGTGCGAAGGACACTTACCTGCGCACGACTTCATCGTGATGATCTTCAAGAGGAGGACAACAACACTCAGCAGGTGAGTCATGTCACCTGCAAGCCTAAAGATATTCATGGCTGGCGATTTTTACTGAGACAAAGAAAGTTGCTTATCCTAATTGACTATCGCTGCTCTGTGCAAGTGCAAAAGTTTGCCGACCAGATGTTGATTATCACAGAACCAGAAACAAAAGGAATTCAGAGGAACTGAAGCTGGAGCAGGACAGTGCAGGTCAGATTCCCCCGAGTGAGGAGATCCAAACCAAGAGAAGCACGGAGCGCTGATCCAAGCAATCTGGTCCACCCGTGATTCAAACAGCTCGGCGCGCTTCTGACAGGAGGAACGGTTTATTCCAGTCGGGAATGATATCCCCTATAATGGCAACTCGAGGTTATTTAACATGAGTTGGGACTGCGTATTGGAAAAACAATGAGGCCAATTTCCCTATATAAAGTCGAAACTAAAATTCTATGCTGACGGCGCCCATTCACTTTGCTTGTACTTCTCCAAATAGCTCAAAAGCCGTTTTCTCTGACAACACAAAAAGCCACCAAATCAAGAAACAAAGGAATGGGGAACAAAGAACAGGATGAAATGGATGACTTGTTAATGAGCACAATAGGCAACATACATCCACATTGTGATGGTCTAGGAAAAAATCTGACCTGTTGACAGGGCAAGCCAATCTTTTTCAGCCGCCCTGATCGGGTTGAAAGCAGTTGCGGCAATGACGAGATTTCGGCAGCCACCTTGTCCGCATTGGCCTCCACCCCTCCCCCCACCGCACGAACAAATTCGCTCACTGATATTGGGTCTGAGAGGCATGGAGGGAAGCAAAACGACGAAGAATGTAGTAGAAGTGCAGGAGATTGTGGTGCGGAGGGTGGGAAGTGATGGAGATATGTAGAGATACGCAGACAAAGATAGAGAAACTAATAATTAGACTGAGGGAGGAGAGAGGGTAAGAGGGGGAGGAGGGGAGGGGAGAGAGGGGAGGAGGGGTGTGGGTGGGAGAAGGAGAGAGAGAGACTCATAGGGGAGTAAAAAAAAAAGAACCGTCCGTTGTAAGACCGATCAGCAAGAAGCAGCACCCATTGCTTGAAAAGCGGAAAAACCAGACCGTGCAAGTTCACCCTTACCCGTGATGGCCACGACGCACTTCGGCCCAGTGATAGGGAGTTACACGGTGGCATTTTAGACAACGAAGCGCGCAGAGCTCTAGCAACCTGGTTGTTACAGCGCGCGGTGGCACAAACACCCATGATTGCTAACCACCGCGACTCTCACCGACCCTGGACCTCCCGGTGTCCTCTCTGACCCAATTCTCGCCCTCCCAGTTTCTGCTCTGACCCTATTTGTGCGCCAACCCGATTTCTGCTTGAAAAAAAGGGCAAAGCGGACTGCCAACCCGGAATCTGCTTGTATCATTACCCGAAGCTGCCTCAGACGGTGAAGCGGACGTGCTGCCTGCTTCTGCAGAATCGTCCGCTGCGGCGTTAAACAAGCGAATTTGCGCAAGCGAGATTTGCCCGCCGGCGGCGGAAGCGCCCAAGGGGATCGAAGACTTTACGCACAACGCGGAAAGGTGGCACTCGGCCCGCGCACTAGGGTTCACGAATGGGGCGAGAAGCCGCTGCAGCGCGGAAGACCGCGTCGCTGCGACGGCGGTTCTGGTTGCCATGGGAGTCTACGGCGACGTGGAGGGGGAAGAACTAGGTGAGGCGAGGGGAATTGTAGTGATCCCAGGAGGTTGTGCGCTTGTACTTGTTTTCCCACATAAGGTGCATTCCAATGAAACGTTCTCGTTATTATTCAATGAAAACAGTTGGTGCATTTCACAAAAAATCCAAAACCCTCTGATATGCCCTCTTGTCTCAACCAGATAAGGTGCACATACATTTATCTGACACCCATAAACTACACCCTATACTTTTTTTTTTAGCAAATCGGTTACCAGAAATTTTCGTAATTTGTGTAAACGTGCGGTAAAGGCTAGTTATGTATGGAGTTTGTAGTCACGATGTCTGTACACTATCACAACGGTTAGCTTTAGTCACATCGCATAGCGTCATGTTCGCTATTAAAGTCGCAAATGTGAACTTGCTCCTATGCATATCACAATACAAGATATTTCACGAGTTGTCGGCAACCTCGTAACGGTGTTTACTGTACACGGTGTGTTCCCACGAAGGACTTCAAACATAGTTCGAGCTGTTTGCATTCATCGTTTTTCCGCACCTTTTTTTTGTAGAGGCGGAATCAGCCGCTCGAACCGCGTTCCGCGTCCGCATCGTGCATGGGCTCATCACCCGTGGCATCGCGAACAGTCGCAAGCATTGCGAGCGTAGGGGGGGAGACGCGGCCTACTTCAGCCGGAGAGGCGCAGTGCAACGCTCCACCCTCGCGCCTGCCCGCCGCGTGCAGCGGCGCGGCGGCGAGCCGCGAGTAGGAAATCATGGCGCTACTACTACTAGTAGAGCGATGGGTGCAGCGCGCGCTGGCACTCGCATGGTGCCTCGCCGTCCTTCAACTTGCCACGCCCGTCGCCCTGGTCAACGCCCAGCCTCTTGAGGCGTCGCAAGGTGCGCGACAATGGTGCAGAGTAGTAGTATAAGCAAAAGCACGATGACTTGGAACAACAAACATCCCAAATTCTCCCTGAAACGTTCCGTTCGATTTGTAGTAGGGCATCATTCGAATAACGATACCATGTTTTGACCGCGATTTTGTTATGAACTAGCGTATGATTTCCATGGCTAGGCGTATCCAAACCCATTATAAGTGTACCCCTGTACAACTTTTTGAAACTCCTATTTTCCGCACAATCCAGAGTTCTCTTTTCGGCTTGGGGAGGTAAAATGCACACACAATCCGAGACCTGCGTTTGGTTGCGAGGAACTGATGGCTCAGGGAACAGAAACGGGACACAGTTCACGTTTTGTGACAAGCGGTGGCGAATTTGTGGTGGTAACGTTTTGCCCGGCCCGTATGTTTCTGCAACTAAGTTTTCTTTTTGTTTTTCTTCTTCTTCTTCTTCTTTTTCTTGTTCAGGACACACACCCCTTTTAATCCTCATTCCTCACACCCAGGCACACACCCGTTTCTAATCCACATTTCTGAAACCCAGACACGCCTTTGTACTCCTCATTCCTGAAACCCAGACACACACCCCTTTCTACTCCTCATTCCTCGTATTATCTACCTCTGCCACCCTCCAACTCCCACCTCCCCCTCTCCTCCTCTCTCGCCATTCCCTCCCTCACCTCCACTCCACCAACCCGCAGTGCAATTCCTGCAGGACTGCCTGACGGCATGGGGTCAGACGTTGCCTGGTTGGGAGAACCCTAATCCGGACTGCAGCAGTGCACAGGGTATCACATGCGACAGCAGCGAAATGGTCTTGGTGATGTGAGATTCGATCTGTCTGCAATGTGCTCGTGCAGGGTGATTGTCCCCCTCAGTGTGCGCATGCACTGACCACTGTGTGTGTGTGTTGCGTGCGAGGACCACCTCTAAGGCTGCACCACTCTTTCATCCACCTGATCTGATGGTAACCACATGGTGGCATGTGCTCTTGGGTGCTCGTACGTGCAGGAATCTACCTGAGCTCAGTCTAAGCGGGTCCATTCCGGATTCCATCAGCAACCTCCAAGAGCTTTCTATTCTGTACGTTCTCTACTCCCCCAATGCATTGGGCTTGTGAAAGTCTGACGAGCTGGTGTGAAACGGACTGGTGGAGATGGAGGGATGAGTGAAGAGTGGAGGTATGCATGGTGGATGGAGGCATCGCAAACACCTTAAGTCATTTGAGTGAAAACGTGCAACAGAGCGTCAAAGCGAAGAAGGATTCGCTCAGCCCATCCACTGATAGGGAAAGGACGTCGAATTTGGCACGTAGAGGAGAAGCGGAGTGATCATCGGTAAGGGGGGGGGGCATTAGCAATGGCCCTGACAAGAGGCCGCGGGCGACGGATGGGACCACAGAGGTTCATTTTCACAAGATCAAGAAAGCAAGGGGAAGCATAAGGGGAAGAAGGAAAAGGAGAATGAGAGAGCTTCGCCTGTGCACAGGGAGGAGCACCAGGGGAGAAACAAGAGGAGGAGGAGGAGGATTAGGGTTGAGGATTGCTGCTGCTGAGAAGACGAGGGAAGAAACGCGGCACCGGCAGCAGTGGAGGTGCCAACGAGCGAGCAGATGATGGTGCGTGGGTGGTGGCAGGGACGGCCGTCGGCCGCGCGTTGGAAAGGGGAGGGGCGCGCCGGGGTGGCGTGGCACAGAGGGCCGCAGAACGGTTGGGGGAGGCGTGCTTGACGAGAAGAGAGCGTTGCAATCGTGGTAGATGGGGGAGCACGCATGGCGGGCGGCGGTAGAGAGGGCTGCACAAGGAGCAGGGGATGTTGCGCGTGTGTCTGACGGGTAGTCACGTAGGTCACGCAGGACGGACGAACATGAGATTCCTTGCAGGTGGTAGGTAGGTAGGAGGAGGAGGTGTGCGGCAAGCAGGGAATGCCGTGCGGGTGGTCCATAGTAGGAGGAGGCACACACACATCAGAGCGTGGGTGGGGTGGTGGTAGGTGGGGTGCGCGCAGCGAGCAGGGGATGTCGCACTGGCGACTAGTACGGGGTGTCGTGTCACACATGACCTCTCCTCTCCTTTCCTTGCAACCACACCTCCTCCCCGCACATATTTGTATGATTCGATGTGATCATCGAGTAACCTGTCGCCCTCCAACTCAAGGTCCTCCTCTGGCCTCGGATGATACGGCTCCTGACAGTCATCCTCCTGCTGACTCGTCTTCCTCCCCATCATCCACCTATTCCTCTTCGTCTCCATCCGCTTCCATTGCTTGTATGTACCTCCACCTCCTCTTTCTTCCACATTATCCTCATCAATAGCCGTGGTGTCCCCAATCCTGTGAGAGAACCCCTACGGCCTTTGTTCGACGGGTTGAGCTACACGACGGCGGTTTTTTTTTTAGTGCTTGGGAAAAAACATTTGGAAAACGAATTCGTTTGTGAGAGTTGTTGAGATCGCCACAAACAAAATTACGCCCATTAACCACACAAAACCCAACCAAAAGGGGTTTGTTTATACTTGTTCAAGGAGAACAAAGGCTTCATTTGTGGTACTCCGCCTTGGCTTTACAGATTTCTCCTTCGTAAACCCTACCTTAGAATTCTCCTTTGTAAACCCTAAACCCGGAAAATAATTGTGGGGGAAAATCCTGTTTATGCGTATGCTATGTCCTTTTCCCCCTCCCCCACGCCCCCCTGTATGTATTTATTTGCCGGCCCGTAAGTTTTTTTTACCCTGCCCGGACCTGCGTCTTTTGAGCGTCCTCGAAAGGGACGGGTGGGCGTCCGCCGTCCAGCCAGCGTCCAGGATGCTGGACTAGACGGGTCCTCCCCATCCCACACAGGTTGGGAGAGCGAAAGGAAGAGCACGAGGGCGCAGGAGGCTTAGTTGCGGGCGCACAGGGCTTACCTGAGGGCATTTATCCTCCTTCTAATGCTGCTCAAGACCCGTGCCCATTCTTGTTCATTGTTGCAGACATCTAAATGGCAATCGGCTCACCGGCTCAATCCCCACTACAATCGCCATTCTTACAAACCTTCAACAAGTGTAAGTAGGTGTGACCACATATCAAGCCCGATCTGGTTTGAGTCAATTATGCTCGAAGTCCCTAGGCATATTCGAATCAACCAAACCGGTTTGATTCAGTTTGAACAGCTCACGGTTTGATGTTTAAGTCGCCAAGTTTGAGCCTGCAGGGGTTCTAGTTCAGTTCTAATCAAACCAATCCAAGTTCGGTTCCCTGAAGTATGTACCAAAGAAGACTCAGTACGAAACACACGTGGCTTGTAGGGATGAGCACCCTACCAAACCGCGGTTCGGTTTGGCGTTGTTTGCGATATATATGAACCGTTTCCGCGGTTCGTCTCAGGTTCGCTAGCTCAAATCTCCAGAGGCGCGCCGAACCAAACCGGTTCGTTCATCCAAGCTCGTGATCAGACCAGTTTGCTCTGACACCGTACGCAACTCGGCTCGCACAATGTTTTTTTTTTAACCCGTCGACTAGAGATATGGAGCTCAATTCGAGCCCCAAATCTACCCTAGGGTACATTCCTGGCCCGTGGCAAGCTTCCGGTCATCCGTGGGTGACCGGAAGTTCGACCCACTTTGGGTAATCCGAGACCAACTTCGGGTCTTCCGGCAAAAAAAAGCCGCTGTTTCCGGAAGACATAAGGTTTGACACCCAAAGCTTCGGGTCTTCCTGGGAAGGCCCGAAGCTTGACACGAGCCAGGAACGTACCCCTAGGCTTGTACGCCCCCAGCTACCTACCATATGCAGCATCTCCAGGCTTTTTTTTATTACGTTTCTACCGCCATTCAGGTTCTTAGGCGTTTTCAGGCCAGTTTATGTGGTAGTTTGGGTTGGGTTCCAAGACCTAGAACCCGCCATAGGTGCTTGGATGCAAGATTTCGCCGCCAAAGCTTTAGCATTATCACATTTCGGCCAAACCGGTTCGGTTTGTTAACCAGGCCAGATTAACAAACCACGAATCGGAAATGGTTTGTTAACCAGGAACCGGTTCGGTTTGTTAACCAGGCCAAACCATTTCCGGTTCGTTTCGGTTTGTTACGGAACCGGTCCGGTTCAGTCAAATGACATGCCTAG